TTGCTTAGGGAAATGCTCATCTGCCACAGCTTAGAACTGGGACGCTGGTCTAAGTGTGCGGATTCTCGTCCCCTCCTATTAGAGGACCCAGAACCTAGGTTCCAGGTTGGGGTAATTCTTTCCTGGGGGATGCCCTGTTAAATGACCCCCTTCCCTCAGGCCGTATTTTGCCTAATCCATGGGTTCCCAAATTTCTCTCATTTTACCTGACTCCCCTTTGGCCTGCCTCTTAAAAAGCTGGCACAAGCTGGGCCTAAAGGGAAGATAGGGAAATTAATTAACCTACGTACTAAAATTTGGCCTCAATATGAATTAGACAATGTCTCAAAATGGCCAGAATTCGGCACATTTGATCTCCAAATTCTCTGTCACCATAATAGTTTTACATAGAAAAATGGCAAATATTCAGAGGTCTCTTATGTCCAGGCTTTTTTCTTCCTTCAGGGCCAATTTTCCTCATTCCAAGTTCTCATGGAGAAGGAAAGCCTGGAGCCTCCCCCTAAATTTTCTACCTCCCCACCCCTCACTTCTTTCCCTCCACCTGAGAAGCCAGTGACTCAGGAACACTGCTTTTTGCTCACTCCATCCTTCTCTCTCTCTAGCCCCTCCTTCTCTTCCACCCTACCGGCAGCAGCACGGGCAGTTGCCACCCCTTCATCCTCTTTTTGCCACAAGTCTCTTTACCCAGTTCTCTCCAAGGAAGAAAAATCTCATTGTAAGCTTTCCACCCCACCATTCTCTCCCTCATCTCATCTCTTCTGTGACCCTGACCCTGCAGGCAACCCCTCACCCCACCCCTGTGACAGTATACTAACATTGGCCTCAATTTCCCAGAGGGACATCTGTTCTTAAATTCTTACTTTATGCCCCAGTTAGCTCCAGATATCTCTTGCAAACTCCAAAAATTATAAAATGGTCCACAATCCCCCAAGAGGGACCTCATAGATGCAGCTTTTTGTGTTTTTAACAAGAGAGATGAAGAAATAGATAGAAGACTAAAGTTTCAGATGCTTGCCTCTGTAATCCACCAAGACCTCAATCACAAGCCAAATGCCACCCGCAGGGCCCTGTTGTCAATGTGGCAGTGCTGCGTCCTTGGCCAACTCAAAGTCCTGATGCTCCAACTCAAAGTCCACCTCAGCTCAAGGCTCTAGCCCTCCTGGAGCCTGTATTAAGTGTAGCATTACTGGACAATGGGCCAGGAGCTGCCCTAACCCTAGGTTTCCCTCTACCTCATGTCCCAAGTGTTGACAATGAGTTTCACTGGAAGATGGACTGCCCCAGGGTGGGAAACTCTTCTTTCTGGAATAGCCCTCTGCTCAGGCACCTCTGGCACAGGACATTTCATCTCTGTTAAACTTAACAGAATGAAGAGGCCCGGGTTCCACAACCCCCATCACAAATGAGTCCAGAGAACCAAGGGTATTAGGGAC